ATACACAGGGTATATACAGATGTTCCAGGTGGATAGGGGGAGGTTAAATCATGTAAAAAATGGGTACCAAATCTAACTTAGTTTGCCCAGGTGTGGACCTTAGAGTTGGCTAAACAGGGAAGGAGGTAGAGTGGGAAATCAACAAAAAGTTTTGACTTGATCCAAACCACTTCAAACCACTTATTTTCAACAAATAAAACTAAAAAGAATGTTTTAGATCAAATATAATACTCCAGTCAGCACAAAATGGAACATTTTAGATTTCATATCTAGGTGGTGGTACAGCTGGTTGCTGTATCCCATTTATTCAGTTTGCCCATGGTAAGGACACTTCTCCAGGATGTAGAAGACAGGTTGAAATCCTTCGTTTGCCTGCTGCAATTTGAACCCATCAGACAACTGTGTATGCTGGAGTGAATTACTCTTAATCTCTCCTATTGAAGCTGTTCCCATCTGAGAGAGAGAGAGAGAGAATGACTCTATAGGATGGAAAGCATTTTATTTCCCTCTTCCTGTTTCAATGTATTTTTAAGTTTGATATATCAATGGAAATGTATTAACAGGATAGATTGTTGCTATCAATCAGAATGTTACTTTGAGCGCTCATAAGAATAGTGGTGAGGGCTTTATTTTGGGAGGCTGGTACATATTATTATGCAACCAGTAATATTCACTCCACCAACTCCTTCTCCTCCACTTTGCGACCCTAGTCTGGGAAAATATTTTTTTCAACTGATAATATGTGGCACAGTAGACTGAAAATTCCCAATATTTTTAGGAAAATAAAGAACGTATTTATTGGTGAATGAACTACTAGGCTAGGGACAGAAATTATGCATAAATTGGTATAAGTAATAAGAAACCAGTTCAAATCTATAACATCACAGAAGTGCAGTGCATATAAACCACTTTCAAAATGGCCAAAACTTGTTTAAGATAAACTTGGATGGATGTAGTATCAGACTTAACTGATTTAAGTTTTCATAGTTGGTAGGGTCAGAAGGGACCCGAGCAGATCATCACATCTGACCCCCCATAGGTGATTATCCAGCCTCCTTTTAAAGACCCCCAGGGTAGGAGCAAGCACCACTTCCCTTGGAAGTTGGTTCCAGATCCTAACCACCCTGATTGTGAAGTAGTACCTCCTGATATCTAGCCTGGATCTATTCTTGGTCAACTTATGGCCGTTATTCCTCATTACTCCTGGTGGTGCTCGAGGGAACAGGGACTCTCCCATAGCCTGCTGGTCCCCCTTGGCCAGTTTGTAGATGGCCACCAGATCTCCTCTCAGCCTTCTCTTCCGGAGGCTGAACAGGTTCAGGTCCCGTAGCCTCTTCTCGTAGGGTCTGCTTTGCTGCCCGCAATCATGCAAGTGGCCATCCTCTGGACCCTCTCGATGCTGGCCACATCCCTCCTGAAGGGCGGCACCCAGAACTTGACACAATACTCCAACTGCGGCCTGACCAATGTCGCATAGAGGAGGAGGATCGCCTCCTTGGACCTGCTCGTGATGCATCTGTGGATGCATGACAAGGTGTGGTTAACCTTCCCGACCATGTCCTCACATTGGCTGCTCATGTTCATTTTGGAATCAATAGTGACTCGAAGATCCTTTTCTGCCTCTGTGCTGACAAGAAGGGAGTTCCCCAGCCTGTAGGTATGCTGCTGGTTCTCCCTCCCTAGGTGCAGTACCCTGCACTTGTCAGTATTGAGTCCCATCCTGTTCTCATCCGCCCACCCCTGTAACCTGTCTAGATCTAGTTGCAGCCTGTCCCTCTCCTGCAGCATGCCCACTTCTCCCCACATCTTAGTGTCATCTGCGAATTTGAACAAGGTGCTTTTCACCCCTCATCCAAGTCGCTGATGAAGATGTTGAACAGTGCAAGCCTGAGGACCAAGCCCTGGGGGACCCCACTACCCACATCCCTCCAGGCTGAAAAGGACCTGTCCATCACCACTCTCTGGGTGCAGCCCTCCAGCCAATTTGTGACCCATCTGACCATGTAGGCATCAATGCCACAGTCGCCTCATTTCTTAATGAGAATGGGGTGACAGACAGTGTTGAAGGCCTTCCTAAAGTCCAGAGAGACTACATCCACCATGACACCTGCATCCAAGGATTTTGTGACCTGGTCATAGAAGACCACCAGGTTGGTCTGACAGGACCTGCCTCGCATGAACCCATGTTGGTTGCCCCTAAGCATGATCTCTCCTGCTGGTCCCTCGCAGATGTGCTCCTGGATAATTTTCTCAAAGAGCTTCCCCAGGACCATGGTAAGACTAACAGGCCTGTAGTTTCCTGAGTCCTCCTTCCTCCCTTTTTTGAAAATGGGGACCACATTGGCCCTCTTCCAGTCCTCCAGCACCTCATCAGAGCACCATGAGTGCTTGTAAAGCTGTGCCAGGGGTCCCACAATGACCTCTGCTAATTTGTTCAGCACTCTGGGGTGGAGATCGTCAGGACCTGCTGATTTGAACATGTCTAGTCCTACCAGAAGTTCCCTGACTAGGTCCTCACAGACTCTGGGCCTGGCAGTGCCACCCCTGGGTCCATCAGGGATCCCAGTAGGGGGGATGCCTTGGTCCCTGCTCAAAAAGATGGAGGCAAAGAAATTGTTAAAGAGGTTAGCTTTGTCGTCTGGTGTGACCACGAGATTTCCTAGCGTATCCTGCAGAGGCCTTATGTTACCTAGTACCTTCTTTTTTACCCCCTATGTATTTAAAAAAGGATTTCTTGTTAGTCTTGATCCAGGTTGCTAGTCCCAGTTCCATCTCTGCCTTAGCCTTCCTAACAGCCCCCTTCCAGTCTTGAGCAATCGAGGTATAATCCTCCTTGGTGATGGTCCCTCCCTTCCATTGGGTGTACACCTCCTTTTTGGTTGCGAGACATTCCTGGATGCTTTTATTGAGCCATGGGGGCTTTTGAGCACTCTTGCCCCCTTTGATCCGCATTGGGATTGTCACCCTTTGGGCTTGGAGGATCATTTCCTTAAGAAATGACCCTCTTCCTGGACTCCCAACTCCCCTCCCTTCCGGGACCTCAGTGCCTCCCCGACTAATCTCCCTACTTCATTGAAATCCACCCTCCTGAAGTCTAAGGCTGCTACCTTGCTGCAGGCCTTTGACACCCTGCACTGGATGGTGAATTCCAGTAGGCAATGATCGCTATTGCCCAGGTGGTCGAGAACCCACAGTCCACTCACCAGTTGTCACCCATGGTCAGGACCAGGTCCAACAAGGCATTTCCCCTGGTGGGACTGTGCACCTCCTGGGTTAGATGGAGGTCCTGTAACTTGGCTAGGAACCTAGGTGAGCCGGCAGACCTGGCTGACTGCTTTTCCCAGCAGATGTCTGGGTAGTTTAGGTCACCCATGATGACCACGTCCCTTGACTTAACTGCCTCCGTGAGCTGACCTGAGATTTCCCCATCCAGCTCTTCCCCCTGGGTGGGTGGCCTGTAGTAAACCCCTACCATTAAATCCCTTTCCCCCTGACCCCCCTGTATACAGACCCAGAGTTAAATCTGTTTATTGAATTTCAGTCCCAGATCCCCTCCAGGTTCAAGTTAACTCGCATTCCCCCAGCATCCCAGGGTGGGTGGACTAGCCTTGGCCCAAGCTGTCTGCTCCAGCCAAGCAGGGAGGTGTGCTCTAGCACCCCTGGGCTTCTGGCCTTGGCCACTGCAGGCATGTTACTGCATTTCCAGAATCAAAAGTCTGTTCACTTGCTTATTGGTTCAATCTACACAGCTTTGAGTAATTGGCAAAGATTGAATCAATTCAGCCTCAGGCTTTTTGTCCAGCTGTACTTAGCCCATAGTGAAAAAGGGCTGGGTGTAGATCACCCAGATCTACAGATATACTCACTGTGCTATATAATAACCCAAGATTCATAATAACTTGATCATAAAGATGTTTATAACTTTAAAGCCATCCTAGAAGAAAGAGTAGGACTTAATGAATTTTTCCTTGTGAGGCCAACTTTGTGAAGAGGGAAAGGTGCTTGCAAACCCCTCCCCCCCCTCCCCCCCACCATCCCTAGTTGCCTTAGATTGGGTGGTGTTAGATCAATCTAATCTTTCCTTAACCTCTTAAAATGTCTGTACACACCCATGGAGATTCTAGGACACACTTTTATCAGCAATTATAACCATTTGAATGGCATAATGAGTAAAAAGTAAAGAGGATCCTTTTGGATTTTGAAAATGTGTAATAATACAAAATAATTCCTTTAAAGATGAAACCACTGCAGGCTTGAGTCTCATTCACACCCAGGCCACTTTACACCATTACTGTAGTGTAAAGGGGCAGTAAAATGTGTCTGGATATAATTTTGTTTGAAAATAGATTTAAGGCAATGAGAAAAAAACTGCTCTTTTCCTTCCCAAAGAAAAATCATTGTCAAGGAATATAAGTAACTATAGCTACATATATTTAACATGTTTTTGTTAGAAGATACCATCTTAGCTAATGTACATAGATGATATGTTGGATAACATATGAGCAATGACATGTTATACCTCACCTTTGTTAAGCCCCCTGAAACGTTTTTCAATATGATCAGAGGCACCTGCTGTTTGTTTTTTCCATTAGTAACTCTACCAGTATGACTAGCAGCAGCAAGCTGGTCCCTCAGTTACAGCCTCTGTTGACACTAGTTCTTTGGAGGGGCTCTTTTTTCACCAGTTCCCAGGAGCTCCTCAGTATAGAGCCAGTCCAAGTGATCCTGTAACATTTATAATTATAGCAACTTAAGTGTGGCAGGCCAAAACTTCTCTTTTTGTACCTGTGACAACAGTGGCATTGCATGTGTATAACTGGGAGGAGAATATGCTCTTTTGTCATTGAGACAATAAAAAAAATTAAGCTGGAAATCAAATATTTCCGAGTCCTTTCAATGTTGCATATTTATGTATTTGTCTTTCTCCCATGTGTCTTCTTGTCATCTTGAATGTACTTTTAGCCTGCAGTATTCACATTCACATTTTATTTCTTTCATAGAACTTATAAGGATACTTATAAGGAAAAAATCTGTTCAAATAACAGCTGCACCTGAAGCAATGAACCCACAGCCTTGCTGCATACAAAACAAATAAATAGGAAGGAAAACTCAGGGTGAGTTTGTAGCACATAATTCACTGTAAAATTAAAAATGTGATATATTCATAAATGCTGCTTAGGACAAACAAATGAGAAAAAATCCCTGCTTTAGCTGGAGGTTGGAATTTTACCACTTTCAGTGCACAGATATTTATCATGGTGGAAATGAGGACATTTCACCTGAGAACAAGCCTGAAAATACATTCAGAAAGATGTTAGCTGCAGTAGGAAATGACACATCCAGACAGAACTATCACCAGCAGCTGATTGTTATCATTCTACAGTTTATTTCTAAATTCTGGCTGGCATACAGTAAAGGCAAAAAGAAAAGAGTTATATTCACTGTGACATGAAGTTGGGTCTGGACCAACGACCCTTTCTTGGTTGTTTTTGCACCTAATCATCCACATCATGACTTCAGCTTGAGATTCTGAAAAGACATCCAACAGGAACCTATCTAGCAAAAAAATCCCTGTGGGATAATAATTAAAAATACTATATTTAGAATATAAATTCAAAGGGGTAAGCAAAGCTACAATTCCATGTAGCTGTTGTCTAGGACCATATGCTTCTCTCTGATCACAAAGCACAGCAGAAACTTTAGGTCATGTCTGTAATGCCCTCCTGCTAAGCCCAGGACCACTGCTGAAGACGTAAGTCTTGCCCACTTACTTCTTCGCTGCATGTGCCTAAGCCTGGCACCATTTGCTACTGTTCAGCACAGAGCTAAAGCCCATAAAATAATATGATGTCAGTGTAGGCAACTCATAGAGAGGGTACAGGGGGGCATGTGCCCCCCACTAAGATTGGCTGCTGCTGCTGCCTTCTGCAGGCGGTCACTGCTCGCCACCCTGCCACCAACGCTGCTGCCCACAAATTGTGCCCCCTCAGTCTCAAGAGGCACCAGTCATTCATGGATGTCAGAAATGAGCTTGCCTGCATCTTTTGGACTTCTGAAAAACACAGAAGACTCTAAGGGGGGATTTCCTAAACTATGCCTATGTTAATTAGTAGCTGCTAAGAAGCACAATTGAATATGACAAGGAGAATGGCCATTATGAGAAGACTCTTCTGGTGTGGTCCTGTATGTTGTTTTACAGTCTAAACTACCTATATCAGGGATGTCAGGACTTGTGGGCCATATCAGAATTCAGGGCTATAAGGCCCTGTTGGGAACAGCACTTGGCAGCAAAGGGCAAGCAATGGCTATGCGGACACAGTACCATTTGCCCCACCACAGTTACTTGCTCCACCACATCCAGGTCCTGATCCAGATCAATCAGCTCAGGTCCAGAGTGTGACACCTCTGAGTTATAGAATGTCCTTGTGTTTGCAATGAGTGAGGCTTTTTGAGAATTCATAATATATTGCTGGAAGAAATCTGATTGAGAAGAATGAGAAGCAAAGGAACAGATAATGCTGAAGATGGTTGTTGTTGGCTCTCATTTTTTTATCCTCTTACCTTATTGATTGAAGGGATATCAAACATTGGGTGATGATTATGTGAGGCCTGTAGTGATTGAGCATTTGTTAAGGACTATTGCATGTTTTAGACTGGGCATAAACCTTAATTTGTGAGTTATGTTGGCCAAGATGACTACTTGGAGGCAGGAGGCAATCAAATAAATAAAAAACATTGCACTCTCCCAAGTGTCCATTTTCATTTTGTCTGTAACAATTTGCTTGTAACTAATTATTTAATATTTTATTATTACTGTTTGTATTAGTACTAAATTTATGTTGTATAACAGGGTTGTCAAGTTCATCTGCCTTTGCAGACTAGATGAGCAGCACAAGGCCAGTCCAAGGACCAGATTGGACCCACATACCTTCCCTCCCCAACTCTGTTCATGTAGGATCCAGCACATGCAGTGCATAGTGCCTGCCTCAGCTAGTCTGGGATTCATGCTGCATGTGGCACCCTCCTCCTCCACCCTTGCCTGATTTGGGACTGTGCTGCATGTGGTCTGCATCCTGGATCAGCTGCAGGAGGAAAGGGGGAAGCCCTGTGTTCA